CCACTTAGTATAAATGTTGGGCCCATTAAGAGCCCATAGTGATGGACTCAGGGGTTCACTGTATTCAGCAGTGAATTCGGCCAGGCTTTGTAACAAAGGCTAAGCTGAACCCATGTGGCTGATGTATAGATCAATGATAGGGTCCCACGCCATACAAAGAGAGCCAAGCTAGCCAGTATTAAAAGGAAGTAAGCCTGAGAGTTTAATGGGCCTAAACCCCATTTCGAATTGGGTTAATTGGATTAATTAATTAGGGGCGAATCTAGGTATGGATCAGTAGATGATGATAATAGGATGACCCTTATCCACTTAAAGAGTCCAAATCCAAATAGAGGTTTGGATTAGGAAACTTCTAATTTGATTAGGAGTAGCTGATCTTGATCTACAAATAAGATAAGGGATTATCCTTATCACTTAAAGAGTTCAGATCCAAATAATGATTTGGATCATGAAACTCCTAATCGGATTAGGAGATCATCTCTTTAAGGCTATATATAAAGAGTAGGGTAGACCTAAAAAATAACATATAGTTTGACTGTTTCTACCTTAAGTTTTCTCTCCCTGCTCTTACCGCCCTACCCTGTTCGATCTCCATTTCTTGGAACTGATCAAGATTTGATTTTGATATTGTTTCTTACTAGAAGAAACAATTATGAAGCTGTGCTCACTACCCCATTCGATTCTTGCTAAAGAATCAAAGGTTCTTGGTGAAGAACTACCTACTGATCCTACCTCATCCTAAGTTGTGTCATCTTCAGTGGAGGGATGATTTGGTACACTCTTCGGGAGTGAACACCTACGTTGGGAGGAGCTTTTTGCGTGGATTCCGTATCAGGTATACTTCTCCCTAATCTTGGTTTCATATTTGGTCCAGTTTAGTTACAAGAATGAACATTGAAAATGTAGTTAATTGGGAATATGATTCTCGGATGGGAGTAAAGAAATTTTTGAAATTTTGCCCAACCTTCCTATAGGGTTCGGCCATCCATATGATGGATATCCCATCCCTTCAGTAGTGTTGCAGAACTGTGAAACCGAGAACTTGTAGAGAGAAGGAGGGCTAAGTCGTGCCACTTGGTTACTTTCCTTAAAACCGCATTCACCCCTAAGGTGTAGCCGGATTATTGCAAATTGGTCGCCAAGATAAAACAGCCCAAAGGCCACTGGTAGGCGTGCATCACTTACCAGACCTCTGCGAACCAAAAATAATGATGCTCAGATTGACAGAGAAGAGACGATTGTCGGATGTACTATTGTGAGAAACTGGGTCGACCAACATTCATTTTATAGTGTTTTCAGTCACTTGAATGGACATAGAAGTGTCTTTTCAGACAGAGGCATCTTCAGAACAGTGCACATGTTCGAAGAGACACAAAGAGGAAGAGATAYAAATGGACAAGAAAACGTTTAAAAAAAATAAATTTAAAATTTAAAAGTTTAATCTAGTCAAAAACAAAATCATCCAGTGTAGCATACACACACCCACACCCTAACCCGGGTTGGCTCGATGGACGTACGTGAAAAGCACCCCCACCCCCCCTCACATGCATGAGAATATCTATAGTGCTTTCCCCTTATGGGTCCCTACCCATAGAGAAAGCAAAACTATAGATATACTCCACCTCTATTCCTTTTCAAAGCAATGTGGGACAAGGAGTCTTCCCATGCATTCAAGAGAGGGAAGAGGAAAAGACAAAGCTCAAAAATATAAGGGAGGAAATTTTGAATCTCCCTCCAACATTTAGAACTCAAATGGTGATTAACTCATAACGGAGTATACTTTCATCTAGTGGTGGCAATTTGGCGGGTTGGGTAACTCAACCCATTTAACCTGCCAACCCGTTAATGACCCATTTCTATAAAATTAAATGGGTTGGGTTCAACCTAAACCTGCTTTAACTCAATCCAACCCACCCAAACCCATTAATCTTATATTTATGTACTTCAAACAAAAAACTAACTCCTTAACAAGTAAGTTGGTCATAGCTTAGTGGTAATAGTGGTTGCTATTTATATAAGTGGTGAAGGTTCAAATCACATTACATGCATGTTATTTTTACACAAGCAACAAAGCCATTTAACTATGTTCGGGTTTCGGATTTGATGAACCACTTAGGTTCAAACTGGTTAGACCAACTAAAACTATTTAATTGGATTGTCTTCAATCTAATCACATCAAGAGTGGTTGAACCATTTAGATCCGGATCAGTTTGGTCGGGCCAGACCCCAACCGAATCGGTTCAGACCGGTCGAATCAAACCCTGACCAGGCCGGTTCAATTCAATCAGACCAAACTAGACCGGTTCAGTCAATGGCGGATTGGCTTGGGTCGACTCATATCAGGTTTGTGCATGGGTTTGGGGCCAAACTGACTGGCCCGAAGCGGGTCAAAAGAAGTAAATCGGACCAGGCCGGATTCGAGGTCAAATTGTACAGTTACGGATCGAACCGGATGATCCAAACTGGGCAAAGCAAGCGGAGTGGTTTAGGGTTCAGACCCCACCCAGCCCGAGCCGTTTTGGATTCGGGTCAACAGGATCAGCTTGTGTTGGGTTGAGTTGGGTTGTGTGAATAATGGTTGGACCGGATGACCCAAACTGGGGCAAAGCAAGCAGTATCGAGCCATCCCGTCTAAGGTCTATTTCGGATTCGGGTCGACCCGGATCTGTATATGCTGGATCGGGTCAGACCGCATTGAATTGGTCCGAACTTGGGTCAAATTGATTTGGATTTATGTTGGGTAAAGTGTGTTGATTCAAGACAAAAACTAATTTTAGTCAATAATTAATAGAAAATTAACGCATTAATTATAGATTATTTAATTCAAATGAAGAAAATAAAAAAAAAGGCTAAGGAATTAATACTTACGTTTGTAATGGTTAACCCAACGGTTATCCACAACCCAACCCAACCCAACCCATTTAAGTGGGCGGGTTGGGTGATGGGTTGATTACACAACCCACCAAGTAAATGGGCGGGTTAGATACTAGGTGGGTTGGGTGGGCTCAGCAGGTTGGGTAAAAAATTGCCACCCCTACCTTCATCTACAATCACGGTACACCGATGAAAAACTTTGATGCTCGTTTGCTTAAAGCCGAATACACAGAAGAGGAGAATGACAGTGGAAGTATGTGGGGGATTGGATTTCAATGACAACCATGAAGACGGTAGCTCCAATTACGAATTCAAATCAGCCCCCCACAATGTCCCACAGCACATCCCCGCTGTGTATTGAAAACTGTTGGGGACATGGTTGAGCTGGCCTAGAGGCCCCTAGCCATCTGTTACGGCTCGGCCACGTCGGCACAGTCCGACCGAGCTGTGGCATTGTCATGATCCTGCCGACCATGACAATTACGCCCCTCACGGATAAGCCCGCCTAGCGGATAGGGATGGGAAGACAACTCCACCGAGGAGTAGGACTCTACCCCCTGTAACCTCGGCGGGGAACTTTGCCCCAGTTTCCCTGAAAACCTACTCCGATCAGGATACAGACCCTTTGGCTATAAAAATGTACTCCATGCTCGAGGTAAGGGACTTCCCCCGACTTCTAACACCCACACTACTAATTAGCCCAGGCCAGCATCCCTATAGCTCAACTCGGCCATTCACCACCTCCTACTGACTTGAGCATCGGAGTACTTACCCGGGGATAATTCTTCAGGCCTCTGACTTCTTCCTTGACCACAGGTCTTGAAGCACGGCCTTGTCCTTGAAGCTCGGCCCCGACCTGCCAGCAAGGACAATCTGATTGCCATCCTCGGTTCGTGCACTACCTCAGATTGAGCAGCATAAAAAACATCTCCTAATAATGACATCATCATTTTTGATATTATCATCAGAAGATAATTCCCAATACACGGTGAAGATGTACTGTGGGACACTGTGAGGGGTTGATTTGATCTCTCCAATTACGATCAATGTGCGCCAACGATTCCAAATCACAGAATGGGGTCCGGTGGGGAAGACGACAAAGAGGAAGAATGAGACCCACACAGTAAGTTCGTTGTAAAATTGGGTCCTTTATGAAGGACATTTTTGAGAATAATTGGAATATGGGGAGTGAGGTGGAGGGGTCGAAGTGTGCCATTGGATCAAAAAATTATTTGGACGAAATGTTGGATGCATAATTTCGTTAATAATTTTTTTAAATCTCACATAAATCTAAAAAAAATATGGTATCTTGATGAAAGCAAAATTTTATTGACCAATTTTTCCCTTTCTCAAAATCCGGAAAACCAGCAAAACCCTAAAATAATAAACTTTTAAATGGATAAGTATCACACAAGTATTTCAATTTTTCTTTTTATTCCTCAAACATGATCACAGAACAGTTTAGTTATGCTTATGCATAGGGGTGAATATTCGATTTATTTAGTTAAAAACCGAATCAAATAAACCAAAATTTTAAAAATCAAACTAAAAAAATAAAAATCAAACTAAAACCGAATTTTAGCAAAACTGAAACTTTTAGTTTGGTTTTTGGTTAAAACCAAATTTTAATATTATATTCTATATTATATTATAACATATATTATATTATATATTATAAAATATATATTATGAAATCAAATTTTATTGTATTAATATATAAATATATAATATATTATATATTACATACTATATACCAAAGTTCAATTTATTCGGTTAACGGAAGTTTGTAGTTGAAAACCGAAATATTGAAAAACCAAATTAACCAAATTGAATTAATCAAAAACTGAACAAACTGAACCAAACAAACCAAAACCAAAATTTTCGGTTCCGTTTTTCGATTTTAACCACTCACCCCTACTTATGCGATTATCCTTTTTAATGTCAACCGTGTATAAAATATATCTCAATGTCTAACAAGCTCTGGAATGTCTCTGAATCTTTGATGTTTACACATGCGCTAACCATCTCAATTCTTAAGTATTCTACTCAGCCTTGATGCAGCTGTAACTGTAAACTTATAAATCTAGGGAACCGATATGAAGTCTCCCACGCAAGATTGAAAAGAAAAGGATAATACAGAGTTCTCAATCCCCAAAACCGTGGGTAGAAGGGCAAATTGACCACTTATTATATCATCTCTCATGCCCCAAAATTTTTGAATGGAAAAGAAATGAGTTTTTTCTTTTTTTTTTTTTTTTTTGAAGGGGTGGGGGTGGGGGAAAGGAAAAAGATTGATCTTATTACATATCTAAAAGCAACAGAAGTGGCTTCAAATGATGATTCCACTTGGTATCAAAGCATCTTTAATTACTGTGACGATTCCACTCTTGATGAAGTACCCATCTGTTTCTCTCGCTGCTTCTTGCACATTGTCACTGTTAATGATCTGCCACAGCAATACTCAACATTAAGAAACCATACGACCTAAGATGCAATCATATTGGACTATATTCTTGTACAAATGATTCTATCTGAGATCATAATAAATTATTATCCTAAAAGAGTCGTCACATTTTATTCTTTTTTCACTTTGCTTTTCCATCGCACCTGATTGCCCAAGAAAACTACTTTTGTAAACCCAGAAAAGGGGAATCAATTCAAAATGATTTAAAATTAGATACTGAGTGCACCAACCTTCACATCGTCTCCAATGCGAGCATTCTTGTCAATAATTGCTCTCTTGATGTGGGTATTCTTGCCAATGCCAATTGGTACACTACCTTTTGCAGCCAGTAACTTCCTATCGGCACCCGTCTAGTGCATGAAAAGAACACCCCCATTATACATCATTTGTAATTCAATTTACAAAGAGAACTAAGGTGTTTGCTATCCTGGAATCAATTCAATCCCTATAGTTTGTTCATCTCCAAGCATAGAAATATTTTGTACGGTATTCATGAGAGTATGGATCACTGTCTCTGTCCCCAGAGAATTACCTCATAATAGTCTGCACCCATCAACAATGTGTCTTCTATAATCGCACCCTCTGAGATGCAAGACCGAAGCCCAACAACAGAATGGTGAATCTTGCAATTCTGCACCATATAATAGAATGAGAAATAATGTGAAGGATCTTCCCAGTTAATCTTGACTAAAAGAAAATGTAACTCAAACATCACAAGACATTTAAGGTAACAACTTGAAGCAATGAGATGAAACTAATTGCAACTTCAGAACATGAACAAGTGGTGCCTGGCCTGTAGATAACATATATACCTTAATCATGCAACCCTCACCAATAACACTATCTGTAACATCAGCATCGAGCATCTTGGAAGGCGGTAAATATCGAGGTTGTGTATAGATTGGAGAAGAACGATCATAAAAGCTGCACTTTGAGTTCAAGATTGTCAATGCCATGAAATTGGAGATCAATCTGCAAGCACAACAGTATGCCAAGTAAATGATGTTAGAACAGTCTTACCTGAAATCTGGGAGTGGCTTTTTTGTGATTCCCAAATTAGCATTGTAGAAAGCTTCTATGGTACCAATGTCTTCCCAATAACCATCATACAAGTAGGCTTGCACCTGCAAAAAGTTCATGTACCAACAAGAATTAGAAAATGAGGAATTTTAAGACTGTCTATGCAAGTGAGCAAATAAATTGAAGTTGGGATCTGCAATAATGAAGTCCCATCAATTTATTACATTGCAATTTGAAGGTTTGGGTGCCACTGACTTTTGGGTCTACCTTGGGTATTACTTAATGATTCTTAGGCAAACTGGTCTAATTGACCTGACAGCTGGTCTCCCTTGTGGTGCAATTTCATGGTGAACAAGTTTCAAGGGGGTATACAATTCAACAATTCCCACTAGGAGATCATAGAAGCTAAAACAATCATGTAATTTGTTTTATTATAAGAGGAAATTTTCATTAACAAAAAGAAGAATGATAAAATAACAAGGGACACAGAATTCGAATGAAATGAGAAATGACCACTTTAATTAAAAGAAACAACAGACCCATCGCCTAAAACTTCTATAAAAACCACTACAATGAGAGAAAAGAAAAGAGAAAAACCCATCAACTTAAATCCTCATATAACATCAGTAACAAAATCTACACTTGTATATCATATTACAAATAAAAGAGGCTAATAAAGAAACTAAAACAACTTGCTACAAACAGAGATTAACATCATCTTTAACATGAACTTCCCTTGTTCATCTTCTCAAGAAACAAGCACCTTAAGCCTCTAAAACAATCACGTCTAATGATCATAACTATTTGACTTGTGTTCCTCCTGATAGTCAGGACAAAAATGATGCAAGCAGTTCATTGAAAAACAAATAGCCATAAAACAACATGTTGGGATCATGCAATTGGGTAAGTTTTCCCTCTCACCCCTTGGATGGTCCTCCATATAGCCAACACATAAAGAGATGCCTGTCCATATGCAAAATATCCTTAGGAAGAAAAGTTATGCCTATGTAGACTCACCACATGGCAGTGACAGTAAAACACATGATGCGTGACAATTAAGAGAATGAATTAGAATTAGACATACCCTCATTCCGATGGATGTTGCACCTGGAATAACTTCACTTCCAAAATCATTGGCTCCAGGGAACTTCTCACGAAGTAGCTTCAGCATCACATCTTTGCTGACAACATATATTCCCATGCTTGCAATATAAGGCATCTCTTTAGCTTTATCATCATCAAGTCCTAAGATGGTAGTATCAACCTGGAGTAATTGAAAAAAGAACATAGAAGTTCATGCATTTGTCAATTTACGATATGATAGACATAGATCATAAGAAACATATTCTATTGATGTATTAATCCTTTTGAGAGAGTACCTTCATTGCTTTCAACTGCTCTCCTTTTGGCTTCTCTGCAAATTCAATTATGCGACCTTCTTCATTAATCTTCATTAGGCCAAATGCAGTAGCACGTGCTTCATCCATTGGAAGTGCTGCTACAGTGATATCAGCATCAGTTTCTCTGTGTGCTTGAATAAAGCTCTCATAGTCCATACGGTACAAATGGTCTCCAGCAAGAACCAGGAATTCCATAACATTGTGTTCCTCAAAAAGCCACAAATACTGCCTTACAGCATCAGCAGTACCCTGTGGAGTATAAAATCAAATTTAATTAGGTGCAATCACAAACAGGAAAAGTGTTTTTTTTTTTTTTTTTAATTTCTTTCAATTTATTTTCTTTTTTCCCTCTTGTGTAACAATTTCATCAAGTTAAGGTAAAAAGCAGAAGAAAGGACACTCAGCAATTATCTTTTATATTGGATTCTTCAATCATATATGTATATAAAAACAATCAATCAAATCAATATTGGTAATTCCCATTTTGAAGATGATAAGATGTAGCTGAAGCCATTATGAACTTATATGAAGACTTTTTTTCTGCCAAGGATGTGGTTAGCCCAAAGCTAGATGGTCTCTCTTTCTCTCATATCTTGGGTCAGGAGAGTGAGGCCTTGGAGAAGCCATTTGAAGGGGAGGTACTTTTATTGCTATCAATGACCTAATAGGAGATAAATCTTCAGGGGCAGATGGCTTCCCATCAATTTCTATAAAGAATGCTGGTCTTTAATAAAGCAATTTGATGGCTGTATTTCTTGACTTCTTTATGAATGCCTCTATAACTGATGCAACAAACGCTATTTTTATAACTCTTACTCCAAAGAAAAGGGGTGCCTCTGATATCAGGGACTTCATCAGACCTATCAGTCGGATTGGAAGTATCTACAAAGTAATCTCCAAGGTGCTAGCAAATCGGCTGGGGGGTTGTTTTGGTTCTATCATTTCCCTTCTCGAGGAAGAATTCAAACAACATATGTGCTAAGACTGAAAGGGATGTGCATTGTAAATCACCGCTTCTTGTGTGGAAAGGCTGAGGAAAATGTGAAGCACTTGTTGATCAACTGTGATTTTTCCCTTGCAATTTGTTTACTCTAAAGTTGTTTGGGGTTAGTCGGGTGGAACCTCCTGATTTCATTGGTCTCCTTCGGCGGGATTCATACTTTCAGCAAATAAGGCATTCTCCTATGGAAAATGATCCCTCATGAAGTTTGCTGGTGTATTTAGAAGGAAAGGATTGAAGGACCTTTGAAAATCAGTCCTCTTCTGCAGAAAAAGGTTTGTGCAAAAGTCGAGAGAGACATATAGTGAAGTGGGACTTCATTAATAGCTTATTTCTGGGATTTAAATTCAATCGCTTTTGTAGTTATTGGGGGAGAGTTCTGTGGGATGATGACTTTGCTTTGCAGTTTGCTTTGTTTGTTCTGTTTATGTGCTTTCTTATTTCGTTGGTGAGGGAACCTTTACCTTGGCAGCCGCTTGTTTTTCCTGATATTTAATGAAATTCACTCCATCTTTCAAAATAAATAAATACTTGTAGTTGAAACCTGATTTAACATGACGGTAAGATCCATTGCCAAGTAAAAATATTGGTCAAAGTAGCCAAACAAATTATCATCCAATACAATACAATAAGGTAGTTATGAAATAATAAGATGAGGTCATTAAATGTTTTTGTTGAAATTTTGAAACAGAAAATAACAAAATTGATAAACAAAAACAAGTACAGAAATTATAAACAAATAATAGACATTGTCTCTACAACAAGAACTATGCGACATAATACATTTTTCAAGTAAGAGAGAAAGTCAACGATTGAAGAATAAGTTTATCAAGGGAAAAGGGTAGCTTATAACAAGAGCTCAAGTTAGAGTAATGGAATAAGGCACCATCCCCCCGGGCATCCAGGTAGAATTATTTCATACGCCGCATTGACCCAAAACATACAATCCTAACCAACTGATCTCTCACATTCTTTAAGAAAATCAACCAACCAGTAATATTTTTGACAGAGGTCGGAACCTTCAAATTCTCATTACTCTGCATGTGTAAAGCACAAGAAGGGAAAAAAAGGGTTCTTCCAATTGTCAATTTGAACAATTTAAAAACACTACCCTTCTATCAATTAAATAGCTTCTTAACATCTCAACAACCGGTATTAGAAGATTGGAGTTAATATCAGATAAATGTGTTGCTTCCAAACCATCAAGTCAACTTCTCAAATCCATCAACTGATAGAGAATATTTTTATTCTTTAAATTGATAAAAAGTAATAACAAAATAATTTTCAATTAAATTATCTTCTCAGGAAAACTTAAGACCAAAAGAAATAGAACGAAAAAGAAGAGAGAGAGAGAGAGAGAGAGAGAGAGCTTAGGTTATATAATTACCTGGAACCAATTCGGGTTCTCTGCGCTCTGCTGTGCAGCAAGAACTTCAACAAACCCTTCATTCTTGTGTCCTCCCTTGTTAGTGGCATATGCCCGTGAAAGGTGGCGATTAAGAGATGCAGAATTGAACTGTGTGAGAACATATATCTTTGAGATATTACTGTTTAAGCAATTGCTCACAGGAATATCGATCAGCCTGTAATTTGCTCCCAAAGGAACAGCAGGCTTTGCCCTCTTCTTGGTTAGAGGGTATAAACGGGTGCCTGCTCCACCTCCAAGTATAATTCCCAGGACACTCTGCAGTCGAGAATGTATGCCGGATTAAATTCTGTATCCACCGTAAATAAAGAAATAGTGTCGTCTGAATGAAAATAAGAAAGTGTATTTGAAACTGGAAAAGGAAACATGAAATTAAAAGACCATCAATGGAATAAGTGAGGCATCCATATATTCCAACCTATCATATTAAACAGCTCGCAGACTCTAACATCCAGATCCCACAGTTCATAATATTCCAGTTGTGTTTCTTTAGGCAACAAATATTTCAAATTTTATGGCACGGGAGGGGGAGAATTGTCACAGCCATTAATTGTCCTATCTTGGAAGTTATTAAACGATGTCTCAAATTCCATGCCAATTGAGGATAATGTCAGTTTGTTTGTTCCCGCAACATGCGTGCTACTTACGAGCTATCCGGTTTTAGATCACCGTCTAGAGTGCAGTGGGAATCACTCCTGATCACACTGCCTCTGAGAGCTCTGAACCCCAAACAGACAGAACCTATTGCAGACACGGTAGCTCCATAGTAGTATTCGATTATAAATATGACTATATATAACCATCTAATCATAAACATACTTTATCAACAAAGTGAGACAGATTAACTACTCCTTGAAATCGACACTGTATAAAAATTACAGAGACTACATCTCGAAACACCATTGAAAGTTCAGGATTCCAATTCTTGTAACAGCTCCAACCTTACTGTCAAAAGCATTTCCATCGACACGGTAAACTTTAGAGCCAGTAGCCTATCCAAACCAAATCATGAAGGTAATCCAAAAATTATCAAAAGATTCAACCAGGAAAGGAAATATTCAACCCCCCCTCCCCCCCTAAAAAAAACCCGACAAACCGACTAAACTCTAACAAGTGAGTAAAGCTAAAGCATATGGAAGAGACTCACAAGGCTTGCATTGGGTTCGAGACACGTTTGTGAGTTCTTTGAGTCGGAGACTGCTTTAGGAGAAACCAAGATGGGAATTCTGCCATTGTAAGCAGTTTTCGGGCGAAGGGAAACCGCTTTTAACGGAATCTTATCGGCAGTAATGTGAGATGAAGAGGAGAGGTTTGGATTGGTGAATTTAATGGAAGGTGTGGGTGAGGTAGTGTTGGTTCTCTGATTGAGAGGTAGTGTTGGAACTCTCGACACTCCTCCTATCGCTGCCATCGCCATTGAAGAGGTAGTGTTGGTTCTTTTCACTTTGTTGTTGTTTTATTTCCCGTTTTTAGCCTCTTTGTTCCTAGAGAGAGAGAGTGAGAGCAATGAAGAAGGCAAAACGCAGAGAGAACATTTTAATAAGAAAATTAGATCGTCAGAGATGTTCAAAAAGAATATGACACTAAATGTAACTAAAATTACGAAATGAACCACCTAGAGTGCAAAAACCATTTTGTGAATCGGTAGAGAATATAGCACTTTATTGGAGGGAAAGTAGGAAAGAGTGGTTTTGTAAATCGGTAGAGAGAGAGGGGCATTTTGTGAAAGAAGACTGCTTAAAAGTTGTTTGAAAACAAATCGGAGGGACTCTCGCGCATCAGTGGTTAGTGATTGCACTTGCAGTTGCAGTCCTGCAAGGTGACGGTGGTACGTTTAATAACTAATCTCAGACTCAGAAGTCAGACCCACGAAATTCCAATCAAACCATTTCCATTTTCTATTTTAAGTCCCTTGCTCGGTTTTCACGAGTTCAAATCTGCGCCCAACACGATTTTAATGCGCCACATGTCCAGGCGCATGATTTCATTCTTCCCGCGTGCGGGGCTAACGGCATGGCCGTAATTCATCCCGTTAGCCCTAAAATCCATTTTTTAGCAAATTTTTTAAATTATCACTAAGGTTTAGTTAATTGACTAACTCTATTCTTATTGTTTGAGATTGTCTTAAAATAACCTTTTTGCTCCCGAGAATTAATTAGCTCTATCCTTATCATTAACCTCTGTTAATATTCCCTTCAAATCCATACATACTGACACCACGTGATGTATAAATATTTTTAAAATTCAATACTACCCTCCATCCCTCTTCTCTTCACTTCCCATGTTCTTTCTCTTCAACCTTCTCTTCTTTGATAGCAACACCACCAACACAAAAATGTAACTGAAGCATCATTCCACATTCCCAATGATGGTCATGAACCCCTTCCTTTGCATATTTCTGGTTAATAAAATCCTCCATGGCATCCAAAATTAAATGTGTAGGGTCAACATATTCAGCAACTGCCAAGAGATATTTCCGTCCTTAGTAACACTGGAGACTCCTTCCGTTTTGCCACCAGAAACCTCAACAAGCCGGGGGAATCCATCTTCCGGCAATAAGACCTGAGAGCTTCCGCTAGATCCAGATTCATAGTTCTTATTTTCTCAAATTCCGCAAGGGTAGCTTCCTTCTGCTCCTGAACATGGGCAATGTCGGATGATTCACGCTTCAGAATCAATTTCTCCTGCTGTTCCAAGGCTTTTAGCAATAAAATCGATTTCTACAAACGTTGGTTGGCTTGAGGGAACGCTTAGCAATAGAATCCCCATCTCTAGCCGACTTCATTCATCTTTGAGAGAACGATGGGTACTCGATTGAGATCGAAACAAAAAACAAAACCCCTCCCCAAGCCCAAATGGATGAAAGAATCGATACTGAGCGAGTTGAAGTACACCAAGATCAAGAAAAAGCTCGGGTAATTAAAGCTCCACACTTTATGCGAAGAAGCTCATTGTCCTAATTTGGGTGAGTGTTGGTCCGGTGAAGAGATAGGAATGGCCACTGCCATTATCATGATCCTTGGAGACACTTGCATTCAGGGTTGCAGGTGAGTTCATTAATTCCACCTGGTTTTCACTACCCTTCTCAAATTTGAGAAGCAATGGAGGACAAATTTGACATTTTATTTTTTCCGCTACGAGTTAACRATGACAATTGTCAGAAATAGTAGGGGTACTTTAAGACTACTGAAACAGCGGGGGTATAGTTAGTCAATTTCTTAAACCTTAAGGATAGTTTAAGAAATTTTCTCTTTTACTATTCTCGCTCCTACTCTCGACCTCAAAACGGTGAATTCGTATCTGAGACCCGTTCCACCCGAGCTCAAATCTTATGCCCTCTCTAGCAACGGTAATCTTTCCGGCCATCTCACCATCATGAAGTACTATTCCTCCAACTCTCTCATATCTTTTACACTCTGTTTTTTTAGAGTTTGATTTTGTCTAATATTTTCTTTTTTTTTGCTTTTCGTTTCAACAGATGAGGGGAGTTTATTCATCAACCACTGCCCATCTCCGGTGACCACCACCAACAATAAATTGGTGGTGCGTTTTTTTATTTTTCTCTCTTCCATCTTTTTTTTTTTTTTTTTTTTTCATTTGCATAGAACGGATCTTGACGAACATATAAACTATACGTCTGTGTCTGTTGTGGATCTTGAGGAGGCCGTTGATGAGCTTGATGGTCTATCGGTGGTTCAAACTAGAGCTCCTGTACACGAGATGTGGTTCCCCATCAAATGGAAGCATGAAGGGATCATATGGGACTTGTAGAACTTTATGCCCATATTCTCATAAGATCATCGACCAGATGACAAGAAACAAAAAGGGGAGCTATTGTAATAGAGGAAAAACACAAACCTTAAGAAAAACTCAAAAGAGTACTAAACATACAAGAAGTTTTAATTGTATATGTACTAAACACACATATACAATTGCTCAAAGCAATTGTATATGTGTGTAGAAGTGTGTTAGAATTAGGAATGGACAATTAATTATATTCAAGAAACCCAGATGCCAGATGGTGGGTTGCGACTTGGGAAAGACAAAGAAGAATGCCAGATGAGAGAAATAAGGCAAAAGGAAAGATAGTCACAGGAGTCCATATAGAAAATGAGAGGTTTTCATTTCAGTTGAGACTAGTAGGAGAGAAAGATGGATTTGTAGTAGGCAAGGTTAGTGTGTGGGTTTTCCCTTTCTATGTGAGCTAGGACTAGGAGGGATGCGGCTTGAGGTTGCTGGTTGACCACCACCCAAAGGGCATACTCCAGAGGTAGATGACGTGCCATCACATACATGCACCGTCCAATAAAATTGTGGCACGCCATCTTTAGTTTAAAAAATGAGATTAAATGGCCCTTAAATTGCATGTATCAGAGCAACATTCGTATCGACGGGGTGGGTGTGAACGTCGGAGAAATCCTGGCAGTCCACTTTATGGCCAATCAGATAGAACCGCGACCTATCAGAATAGATAACCAGGAGTGATGGGTCTTCCAAAATTGCATTTTTCAAAATTCATTGAACGCTAGTGATTCCATACTCTTCGGCCTAGACAATGCTAGTCTGAGTAAGTTGAGAGAGAGAGAGAAGGGGTTATGCACCCCTCTCTCCGGTTAGTGTGAATGCCAAATCCCTTTTCTGAAAACATTTTAGCATCAGAAAACTATGGATCTAGATTGAGAATCTGCATTCCCTCTGGAACTCTAACTCTGCGAAGAGCCCGTTTCTTCTATTCGAAAAACCCTCTTTCCTTTTTTCTCACCTCTTTCAAGAGAACGAAAGACTCTCAAGGATCCTCCTCATTAGTTCAATTTGGGCCCTTCCTCCCATTCTCTACCGACCTCTTTCCTTGGGAATGGAGCCTCCTATTTATAATAGGAGGGAGGGGGAGGTTCTACCAACTCTCAAGATAGAAGAGGGGTTTTAGCAAGTTAGGGTTTAAAGAGATAGGAGGGTTCAGTTATTTGGGGTAAAAAGGATAATTTCATAATTTTTGGGAATAATTTGGTCATTTAGGATAAAAGGATAATTTAGTGGTTTGGGTTCAGAGGGCAAATTGGTAATTTGGGGTTCGAAGGGGTAAACTTAGAAGGGCATTTAGGTAATTTGTGGAATGAAGGGTATTTTGGTAATTTTAGGTTTGAAGGTATTTTGGTAATTTTGTGAATGGATATTTTTGGGAATGAAGGGTATTTTGGTCATTTGACATGATAGGTATTTTTGGGAGTTTGGAAAGAGGGGTGTTTTGGTAATTTGGTTAAGGGTATTTTGGGAATTTGGAAGAAGGGGTATCAGGTGAGATCAATTGTTGATCTAGGGACTATTGGGCTGAAATTCGGGTTTCAAGGGTTTTTCGATGTTTCAAAGAGGTTATAATGGTTTGATTAGGTACTTGGGGTAAATTAGGGGTTTATGCGGCAAATCGAGCATAAATCGGGTGCTAAACAGTGGGGTTTTTGAGCATTTTGGTTTGATTGGTAAGGTCAAATTGGCTCAATTGGACCAAGATCAGGTAGATTTGGAAATGGATTGATTTAATCAATTTGAAGCCTCGATATGAAATCTTTATGTGATAGAGGGGAAAACAAAGGTATTTTGGGTTAAAATTTGGTAGGTAGGCACTTTGAGATGTTTGAGATCTAATGGTAAGGTCTAATTGATTTAGGGGGGTCAAGATCGTGGGAATTTGGGTGAACGAGAGGATCCAAAATGGAATCTTGGTTTGATGAAGGGGTAACTGGGGGGATTTTGAATTGAAAATTTACGAGTAGATGTTTTGGTGTGTCTAAAGTTCAATCGTATGGTCTAATTGGTTCAGAGGTGTTAAGATCAAGGATATTTTAGGTTATGGGTGTTTTAGGCTAATGAACTCGAAAGGAAATCTTGATTCAATCAAAGGGTAAATAGAGGAATCACGAGTTGAAATTTTAGGGGTAAATGTTTTAGGAGGTATTGGGTCTAGTGGTGGTGTTTGATCCAAGGGTTGAGGTCAAAATGGGGATTAATTGGGGCCATCGGATTGGTATCAGGTAGATTTAACGGTGGATCTAGAGGCTTTTAGGCTGAAATTCAGGCTATCTGGGTTTTTAGGTGTTTCAGAGGGATTAGAAAGGTTTGATTGGGTGCTTAGGGTGAATTGGGGTTTTAGGTGATGGACTGAGAAAAATTTGGATGTTAACACCAGTCAACTTGGGTCGTGTCATATGGATGATAATTTACAAGATAAAGGAGGAAATGAGGAAGGAGAAAATGTAGTAGCATCTAATAATGCCACAAATAAGGTGAAAGGGCTTGCAATAAAGATTAACAATGGTAAAACTAGTAGTGGTGGTGGTAGAATAAAACAACCCTTTGAGAAAAAAATGTAAAAAAAAAAAATCCCAACCCTAGACACAAGTCCCAACTACTGCAACCACGAAAGCTCAACCTTCATCT